TTGCGATTAGATACTGCAGAACGGATTAAAGGTCAGTGCTGTCGACAATAAGTATTAATAAGCGTACGACGTCGGTTCAGTTAATAGAATAACAGCATAAGCGTTAACATCGTGTGTTACTTCTCATACTGATTTCGATTTCTCTGTGTTTGGAATAAGGTTTCTCAAGATGTCACCGAAGTCGAAAGTTTACGTTATTGGTGTCGGCATGACAAAGTTCGAGAAACCAGGTACACGAAATGATGTTGATTATCCAGAAATGGCAAAAGAAGCCGTAACAAAAGCTTTAAAAGATGCGCAGATTTCTTATGACAAAATAAAAGCTGCCTGCGTTGGATATGTTTATGGAGACTCCACTTGTGGCCAAAGGGCACTTTATGAAGTTGGACTCACAGGGTGTCCTGTATACAATGTAAATAATAATTGTTCAACTGGTTCAACTGCTTTATTTATAGCTAAACAGCTAGTCGAAGGTGGTTCTGCTGATTGTGTATTGGCTCTTGGTTTTGAAAAAATGGAAAAAGGATCCTTAATGTCAAAATTCATGGATCGTACTAATCCTATGGATAAGCACATAGAAGTTATGGCTGAAATTTCAGGTAAGAAAATAATGTCACATTTAGATTTTATTTTTTTCATTTTTTTTTACTTTTTTATATTTAATTGTAGGTATTAATACGGGTCCAATCACTGCACAATTATTTGGGAACGCTGGAATTGAACACATGAAAAAATATGGTACAAAACCCGAGCATTTTGCAAAGATTGCCTACAAAAATCATTTACATTCCATGAACAATCCATACTCTCAGTTCCAAGACAAATACACATTACAAGAGATAATGAATTCTCCAAATGTGTATGGACCACTTACCAAACTTCAATGTTGTCCAACATCTGATGGTTCAGCAGCTGTAATTGTGGCTAATGAGGAGTTTGTTCATAAGCATAAGCTTGAATCTCAAGCAGTAGAGATAATAGCAATGGAAATGTCTACAGATTTGAATTCAACATTTGCAGAAAAGAGCGCCATTAAACTTATTGGGTAATGAAAACAAGAACATTCTTACACAATTGAAAACAATTTGAACAAGAATGAAAATAATAACTTTATCTCTTTTTTTGTAGTTATGATATGACAAAGAATGCAGCCGATAAAGTATTTACACAAAGTCCTTACAAACCAACTGATGTGAATGTAGTAGAATTACATGATTGTTTCTCAACCAATGAACTTCTTACTTATGAAGCATTGGGCCTGTGCCCTCCTGGTCAAGGTGCTAAGTTAGTTGATGCTGGAGATAATACATATGGAGGAAAATACGTGATAAATCCCAGTGGTGGGTTGATCTCAAAGGGACATCCTTTGGGAGCAACAGGATTGGCACAATGTAGTGAACTTTGCTGGCAGTTACGAGGTCTAGCTGATAAAAGACAAGTGCCAGGAGCAAAACTTGCACTGCAACACAATATAGGTTTAGGTGGTGCAGTTGTAGTTGCTCTATATCAATTAGGTTTTCCTCAACAACAACAACAACAAAGTGTAATGAAGAGAAATGTAAGCGCACATCCCGATCCGGATATTTTCAAAGCAAACGCATTATTCAAAATATTAGAAATTGCAATGCAAGAAGACGAAGAAGATTTGATCGATAGAGTTCGTGGAGTATTTGGATTCAAAGTAACTAACGGACCAGGTGGCGCAGAAGGTTTCTGGGTTGTAGATGCTAAGACAGGGAAAGGGAAAGTTGAATATTATGGAAGTACTAAACCAGAAGTTACAATTACCATTAACGATGCCGACATCGTTGATTTTATATCCGGGAAACTGAACCCGCAAAAAGCCTTCTTCCAAGGAAAAGTTAAAATCCAAGGCAATATGGGACTCGCAATGAAATTGGTGGATTTACAGAAACGCGCTGCTAAGAAAATAGAACTTCTCCGTTCGAAATTGTAAAAACGAGAAAATCTTAAAAATTCTGGTGCAAGTTTTTTTGTTCTGACATCAAAATTGACGTAAATGCGATGTCAATAAGAATTAAATTTTAAAGGTTATGAAAAAATACCTTACAGAATTGTGCAATCAAAAATATTATTATAATCTTAATTAAGGTTTACAGGAATTGCAGATACTTATATACTTGAAACTGAAACCATATCCTCATTCATTCCTGTTAAATTGTGCAATTTCCTTTTTCGTCAAAAGAAGTTAAAAACTTTAGGAATTTTTATATCTTATTATATAGTTAATGTATAAATAGTGAATATTATTTTTTCTAAACAGTAATGTTACTGTTATAAAACAGTTATAAACTAACGTCCATAAAAATGAATTACATTACAAAAAGTTTAGACGTTTCATACATTAATTTAAATTAAATGCCAAATCGATTATTAATAAATTCGTAGATGAATTCTATATATGATTTAAGTTAAATTGGTAGTATTTTCGTTTTTTATTGAAAAACAAGTGAATTATAATGTTGTTAAATTGTGCATAGTATAAGTATATTATTGTTCTTCTCTCATTAAGAAATGACTGTCATGAAATGGTGGATATATATATAACTTTTTTATACCATTTGTTATTTGTATTTTAAAGATAGTCTTAGAGTTTAGATGGGGAAAATGTTCACTGGTATACTGTATTATTAAAAATCCGATATTATATGAATATTTTGTTCAAATATCTGTTTATGATGCACTACTAAAGTTATTACTATTGAATCGTTGATATAGTAGGTGAAACCAGGGTGCAGTTGAAGTGTTATATACAATTTTTAGAAAAAAGGTGTAGGATTTTATACTAATTAACAAAATATTTTTATGGAAAAATAAATGATTATTACAATCTAAAAGTAACATTTTTTATCTCCTGTTTGTTCCAAGTTTAATAATCATAACAGTTGTCTTTATCGTTATTATTATATTTTTTAAAAACAACTATGGCTTATATCTTGAAAAATTTTGTTTGGAATAAATATGTTTGAAATTAAGTTAAATGACTCCCTCTTTTCCGACGACAGAATAAATTTGTTTTCTATAACTTAAAAGAGATCTTAAAAAATTATATAATACTATTCACTTTTAATAAGCTTACAATAACATCCCGATTGATATTAAAATTTGTATTAATTCTCAGATGAGCAAGCAAATATAAAGGTCAAGTATGTACATACAGTCAACAAAGTATTTGAACGTTTGCATGCTTAGACACAATAAATGTTCTATAATTTGTTTGCATATTGCTAAATGTTTTTTTAATTTTGTCGCATGTATATACCATGAATTTATTCCAATAAATAGCAATATATGATGTACAATTTTTTTAACGACAATTTATTTCTTAGTATGTTGTTCAAATACTTTCGTTGCTGACTGTATATAAATATCTGTAGTCATTATCGTAGACGATTGCGCTGAGTAAAGCATTTCGAATTCGTTGATCATGTAACTAAATTGGTAGGGGTAATATCCGATAATCTTAATATAGTATAATAAAATCGTAGATTAAATAAAAAATAAAAAAGATACACATGCTAAATAAGTAATATTAATAAATAAAATAACTAAAACAATAATTAAAAATACGTGGCACTTAGTATCTTTTTAAAATTCTTCATATCGACGCGATTAATTATATATAAGTAACTTTTATACAATTTATTATACTCAAATTTACAATAGCACCAAATTACAATTCGCAGGAGATACAGTAACAATTTAGAAAATTCAACAAATTTCAGATCAATCGTCTGTTCGATTTTCCGTTCCAGATAAGATAACCACGCGTGTGACGCGACCAAAGTCCATCCAAACAACCCCAAACCTTACGAGATCAACGATATACCCTAATATCTCGTCTCTGTCGGTATCAGATCACTGCGTTTGATTAATTAACTAAGTATATTCGGCCCT